CGTAGGGACAGAACTCTCAGCAGCTTCTGAGTGGAAGAGTAACTAACTCAATGGAGTAGGACAGATAGCTTGGCAGGTAAAGGTGCTTGCTGCACAGGTCTAGAGACCTGAGTTTGATCTTCACAGGACACAAGGAGGTGGAAGGACTGAACAGGGCCCAAGGACTATCGTTTGACCTTCTACACCCGCTCCAGCATACACAAGCTCAAGCACACAAGTCATAAGAAACACTACTACAAAGCATGAACTGGAATGTTCTTTATCTACTTCAGCACCCATTTTTTAAGAATCAAGGTTCACTAAGGGAACACACAAGCTGGCACACTACCTTCCTCACTCACAAGATGCTCCATTGCCACCAGAAGCCAGTCAGGAAGTTGCAGGAGAGGCAAGTGAGGGCTGCATTTTGACATTCCTCCTCAGTCTACACACTGAACCAGGATACCCACATGGCCATCGACAGTGATGCTACAACTGAGCAGGGCAGTCGAGGCACTCCACTCACTAGAGGCCTGATCACAACTTTGGCTACTGGTAAACGCCAAGGGATCCTTTTCCTGATGGGCTATCCTTCTGGGGGGCATCCTGCTTCTGATGTCAGGAACACTGGCCCATGCCTGACATCAGAGATCACTGGTTGACATCTGCTTTAGTTCCCAGGTTCCATCTCAGTGAGGCTAGAGGACACTGGGGGAGCAGGGAGGTGAGCATGCGGACAGAAAAGGCAGCAGGACACAGGGATCAGGACCAAGGAGGGAGTCTAACCCTGATGCCACTCTCTCCTAGTTCCTGATCACTTCTGAGGCAGTAATAACCAAGGTGACATTGAAGGGTCCATTCTGGAGTCAAGGGCACCTGCAAGGTGACTTTGAGCAGGAATGGGACCCTCTACCCTCCTCGTGGGCAGGACTCTGGAATTCCAAGATGGAAGCTTCAGTGTCCTCCTCAGCTTATTTTTATGCCAAGGGCTAAGTAGTCATTAACTATTTGTTCATTTGACTTCTCAGGCTAGTGCTTGTCACTTTTGGGCATCTCTATTTACAAGCAACTGCCACTCCTCTTTAGCAATCAGAATAGTTTAAGACTGAATGTCACTTCAAGGTAGAGAATAGGCAATTTAGGGCTGTTCTTGACTTCACAGTAAGTTCAAGGCCACCTTGAGCTACCCAAGATGTCTCAAAAGAGTGGGCAAACCCTGAGGGTAAGGGATAAAAATGATTAACACTGAACTGTAGCCTCAGGTCTGAAGATAGAGTCTAGGCTAGCCTATCTCAACCAAAAGCAAAGTCGGGTTTAGTGGACACACTTTTAACAGAGGCACTAGGAAGCAGAGACAGGCAGATCTGTGAGTTTGTGGTCAGCTTGGTCTACATAGACAGTTCTAGGACAGCCAAGGCTACACAGATTCTGTCTCAACCTTAAAAGCAAAACCAAAAAAGGTGTTCCACACAATCAACCCAAAGGAACACAAAACCGTGAGACAGTACCATACCACACATATCATACCAGCCAAGAGGAAAGGTGTGCAGTGCAGTCAAGTATACACTCCTCACATTATTAGTGAATGAGGCACAGACACCCTGGTCTGTTCTGTTGCTGCAGATATAATCTAGTCTGGGCTCAAACCCACTGTCAGCTGAGAAGGAGCCTCAGGATCACAGATACACCCAACCCACCTGTTTCTTGAAAAAACAAACAAACAAACAAACCAAAAACAGCCATGTGTTGGTGGCACACGCCTTTAATCCCAGCACAGAAGGCAGAGGCAGGTGGATCTCTGTAAATTCAAGGCTAGCCTGGTCTACAGAGCGAGTTCCAGGACAGGCTCCAAAGCCACAGAGAAACCCTGTCTTGAAAAACCAGACCAAACAAAAACAACTGTACTTTTAGCACTGACCTCCATGAAATGAAAATTCATATCCACAAAAAAAGCCACCCATGGATATTCATGGCTGCTTTACTTGTACTAGTCCAGATCTAGACTCGCTGTTTCTTTCCATGGGTAATCAGTTAGGCTGTGAAGTACTGCTCATCAACAAAAAAGAGCATACTGTCACATTGGATAACTTCTTAGGCAATTGTGTTGACAAAAAGGCAATCACCAGGCTTTGGGGATGGCTCAGCTGGTAAGGCATTTGTCTAAAGTGTGAGGGCGTCAGTTTGAATCACCAGAATCTATGCATAAGTACTGCTCCAGGACCTGGGTTTGATTACCGGTGCACGCCACAGATCAGAACCAGCTATAACATCAGTCCAAGGGGTCAGATATCCTGCCCTCACATGCTTACAGGGGCAGCAAAAGGAAAACTGTTACGAGGGCTGTGCCCACACCCTGCCTTGCCGCCTCCAGATAGGGCCAGTGCTGAAGCCCAACTGAACTGAAGCAGTCATGTCCTTGAATCTCCTAAACTGACCTAAATACATTTGTCCTCACTAGCTAGCTGGGTTTCAGAAGTTCACTGTAGTGACCACAGAAACAACCTGACTGATACAACTCTCTTTCTCTTTCTCACTCTCTCTCTCTTTTTGAGACAGGGTTTCTGTGTGGCCCTGGCTGGGCTAGACAAAGCTGACATGCCCAGCACTTTGGAAGCTGAGGCAGGAAGACTGAAGAACTGGAGGCAGACCAGTGGCTGCCAGGGCCACACAGTGGGCAGGAGGAAGCAGGGAGGGAGGGTTGTTTGTTTGTTTGTTTGCTATTATTTTGCCTTTTTCTAGACAGGATCTTCCTCTTTACCCAGGCTGACAGACAACAACCAGCCTCCCAAGTCCTGGGATCACAGATGGGCCACTGTGCCTAACTTCAACCTCAATAGTTTTCCAGGGCAGTGGTTCTCAACCTGTGGGTGGAGACCCTTTCTCAGGGGTCACCTAAGACCATAGGAAAACACTGATATTTACACTATGACTCATAACAGTAGCAAAACTCCAACTATGACGTTACAATGAGAATAATTTTATGGTTGGGGTCAGCACAGCATGAGGAACTGTATTAAAGGGTCACAGTTTTAGGAAGGTTCAGAACCACTGGCAGGATGGTGGTGGATACAGGATAGCCCACAAGCGTTCAAACATCACAGAAGAGGATACAAGTAAAACTGGAGACAGGTGAAGAAGAAGGATGGGCAGCAATGCTCTAACTGTGGTACCTGACAGGGGTTGCTGAACGTCCCTTAACAATGGGGTATGGAGGGTGGTGCTGCAAGAAGCTCCAAGAGTAACAGCACCTGCTGCTGTGACCCCAATCTCTGGGACCACATGGCGCAGAGAACCACTTCGTCCAGGTTGTTTTCTGACCTCTGCACTTCACCCTAACACACAACATTTTTGTGTTTTTTTGTTTTTTGTTGAAACAGGGTTTTACCATGTAGCCTTGGCTGACCTTGAACTCAGAGATCTGAAGTTCTGGGTTACAGGCATGCGCCACCACACATGGTCACAATATTTTTTAATATAGTAAAAAACATTTTAAAATGTGTACTGTGTGTGTGTCTGCCCACAGAATATAGAAAGAAGTGTTAGAGCCCCTGGAGCTGGAGTCACAGGTAGCTGCGAGCCTCCTGATATGGTGCTGGGAAACAAAACCAGGTCCTCTGCAGGAATAGTAAGTTTTTGTTTAATTACTGAGCCATCTCTCCAGAGGGCCTCCCTCCACCTTTTTAAATGTACCTTATGGTCTGGTAAGATGGCACAGTGGGTAAAGGTGCCTGCTGCCAGACCCGGGACCCAAGTGGTGGAAAAAGAAAGACTCCTATAAGTTGTCCTCTGACCTCCACATACACATTCCAAGTCATACACATTAAAAAAATGTAATAAACCCTGTCTTTTAATAGTACATAGGGGTTAGGGACATAGCTCACAGGTAAAGTACTTGCCAGGTAGGCAAAAGGATCTGAGTTCAGATCTCCAGACTGATGTAATAAGCTGGGTGTTAGCTCCTGCCTGTAACTCCAGCATGCAGAGCTGGACAGAGACAGGAGGTCTTGGAACTCACTCATCAGTCAATCTAGCCCTGCTGGCAAGCACCAAGTTCATTGAGAGACCCTGTCTCAACCCCCCAAACAAACAACAAAAACAAAACAACAGAACAAACAAACCAACAAAAACCCACTACAGCCAGGCAGTAGTGGTGCAAGACTTTAATTCCAGCACTGGAGAGGCAGAGGCAGGTGGATCTCTCTTAGTTTGAGACCAGCCTGGTCTACAGAGTGAGTTCCAAAAGTGTGACGAGTATTTGAAAACGACCACTTGTCATCTCTGACCTCCACACCCACACATCACTCATACACACACATTATTTTTATCTTTAAAAATGTTGTCAGTCTTACTGTATGAGTGTTTCACCTACACTTGCATGCCTGTGTACCATGCATATGCCGAGTGCCTATGCATGTTAGAAAAAGGTCAGACTCCCCACTGGAATTACAGATGGTTGTGAGCTGCCATATGAGTTCTAGGAACGAACCCAGAGTCCTCTGGATGAGCACAAGTGCTGAACCACTTGGCCATCTCTCCAGCCCCAAATGATGTGTTTTACAGTCATTAACTTCCAATTCTGATCACCTACAACAGACAGGCATTACCTGTTTTTCAGAAGCCTCATCTTGGGGCTGTTCTGCTATTCCAATCCACAGCCCACTTAGATTCCATCAAATGACAACAAAGGGACACCATTCCTACAGGTTTCTAGGACCCTTTTATGACAGTGGCCTTGTCCACATGGTACTAAGGAGGGGATGGTGAAGAATGGTAGATTATATATAATAAGATACCAGGTCCTGAAAGCTGAGAAAACAAAACCCTAAATGCACATGTATTATATGCAAATATTCAGGATCTAGAAGGACACCCAGGTCAGTCCCTAGTTGTGACTTCCTGAGGTGGCTAGGGTGGCCTAAGGCTGTGTAGACTCCAACTGCCCAGTATTGGAGGACTGCATTCCAGTTCCAGTCCAACAGGTCTACTTTGTTTAACAAGGGGAAAATAAAGCAAGCACTTACTGCATTCATAGATCTGTTCCAGCTTATCCACAGAAGAAAGGGAGAAAAACTTATACCCGGACTTACTACCAACAGCTAGGGACCTGCAAAAAAGCCAAATCAGAAGTAAGAGCTAAGGCATGTAGACAGTGATTATGTATAAACCAGAGCACACCTTACCCCCCAGTAACCAGGGGTCCTACCAGGAATCACCAGCATGTTCCTAATTATCTCACAGGTCTTATCAGATATATATGGTAGAGGACATTGTATGCCAGAGGTCTGCAAAGCATAGAGCATGGCCATGACAGTTTACAGGTTTTGGGACCTGATGCACTGTCATCACACACAAACCCAAGTGTGTTAGCATGTTAGTTGACTCTCTGTGTGTGGTATATGTAAGCAAGTACATGCCATGGCATACAAGCAGAGTCAGGGGACAGTCTGAGGTGTTGATCTTCCCCGTTCACTTTGTTTGAGACAGGGCTCTCATCACAGCTGCATACCCCAGGCTAGCTAGCCTGCAATGGTTCAGGAATCCTGTGTTGCTTCCCACCCAGCCTTAGGAGGTTGGGGTCACAGATGTGCAGCACCACACTGTGCTTGACAAGTGTTCTGCAGATCTGTGTCCCCCCTCACTCACACTTTGCACGGCATGTGCTTTACCCTCTCAGCCATCTCCCCAGCCCAACAGTTACACACTCCATGTATATGTGTAGGAGGGTACCCTATTGTAGACCTTAAATATATTCAGGTTTGCCACTCAACCCTCAATAAAGCCTGGGAAAAGATTAAAATAAAAGTAGTGAAAATAGTGCCTGGCATTGGTGGCTCACGCCTTTAATCCCAGCACTCAGGAGGCAGAGGCAGTTGAATCTCTGTGAGTTCGAGACCAGCCTGGTCTACAAAGAGCTAGTTCCAGGACAGCCTCCAAAGCCACAGAGAAACCCTGTCTTGAAAAACCAAAAAGTAGTGAAAACAAAGACACACACAACTGTTTTGGCATTTGTGAGCCTTCAAGTTTAGTACACTGTACTGCATTCTACATTCTGAACAATGACACTTACAACCCAGGCTTGGCATCCATCCTCATTTCAGGACTGCCTTCAGCACTCGCTGTACTGTGCCTGAGAGGTAGGGTAGGAATAACAGGCACGAAGGAGCCAGTTAGACCCTGGTAGGCAAAGACTACCTTTGTTGGGTGAGACAGAGAAGAGAGGGGTTCTTTTTGATGGCTTATGTTTGACAGGTTGTGTTCACCAACTCCCAGCTTTGGCTAAAAGGCTTGGAGCACAGAGTCTTGGTGACACCAAATGAAGGTGTTCCTGGTCAGAAAATCCCATCTTCAGGATGCAACTGACCAAGGAAGCAAGGACAAGCAGCACCAAACAGCCTTCACCAGCACAAAGGAGGATGAAGGGAAGAGACACAACTTCAGACTCTGGGAGAACACAAATAAACAAACATAAATAAAAAGAGGAGCAGAGCAGGGGACTTTTGCCCGATTTGTATTTATAGACATTTGAGGCTACTTGACATTTCCAGTCCTCCCACAGAAAAGTGGACTGCATTACTAGATGCTGGGGATGGTAGGTAACATACATACAACTATAATCCCAGAATCTGGGAGGCAGAGGCTGGAAGATCAGATGTTTGGGTCCTCCTTGGCTATAGACCAAGTTCAAAAGCAGCCTAGGCTATATGGGGCTGATTCAAATCACCAAGGGTGATTTTCTCCTGGAACAGAGGCTCTGTGAGCATGCTGAAACCTAAGTAGTATGAGCTTATCTTTTTTTTTTTTTTTTTTTTGGTTTTTACGAGACAGGGCTTCTCTGTATTGTTTTGGAGGCTGTCAGTCCAGCCCAGCCTGGAACTCACAGAGATCTGCCTGCCTCTGCCTCCCAAGTGCTGGGATTAAAGGCATGCGCCACCAATGCCTGGCTAGTATGAGCTTATCTTATGGCACTGAGGACCACAAACTTTTCCTACGAGATGGTAGGATTTGTCTTTGTAATACTTCACTACACTGAGTTCTTTCAACCAAGTAATCAAGTCTAGATATTTATACACACTGAGCAGTAGCAGGTGGCCATGGTAATTCACACTTTTAATCCCAGCACTTGAGAGTCCAGCCTGGTCTACACGGCAAGTGCCAGGCCAGGCAAATGCCATGTCTCAATTTTAAAAAAAATGGCTAAGTGTTGGTGGCACACACCTTCAATCCCAGCACTTGGGAGGCAGAGGCAGGTGGAGCTCTGTGAGTTCGAGGCCAGTCTGGTCTACAGAGCAAGTTCCAGGACAGACTCCAAAGCAATACAGATAAACCTTGCCCCCCCAAAAAAACAAAAACCAACAAATAAATAAATAAACAAACAAATAAAATCAATGAAAGAAGCAACAAAACAACTCTCTGGCAAGGTTGAAAATAAAATCTCAGTAGCTAAGAACTTTTGTAAAATTGTGTTCAAGAGAATATTTTCCAGATAAATAAGGCTTGCTATTTTAAACAAATTTTAATCTTTTTTTTTTTTTTTTTTTTTTTTGGTTTTTCAGACAGGATTTCTATGTGGCTTTGGAGGCTGTCCTGGCACTAGCTCTTGTAGACCAGGCTGGCCTCGAACTCGAAGAGATCCGCCTGCCTCTGCCTCCAGATAACTGGGATTAAAGGCATGTGCCACCAACGCCCGGCATTTTAATCTCTTTTACCTCAATTATTTCTGAACTTAAAACACAAACCACCCTGGCACCTGGGAGGAAGTGGGAGTATCAGGAGTTCAGGGTCAGCCTGGGCTACATAGTGAGTCCCTGCCTCACAATAAAAACTAAATACCCCAAATACCAAGAGCAAAAAGACAAAAATCATTCTTAAATTGTATTTCTTGTGTGTCTTAAGAGATTTTTATTTATGAGTATATCTATGTGAATACTTGCTACATACATGAGGTATCTGCAGCTGAAGTTAACAGGCAGCTGTGAGCTATGGCTGCTCTGGTCCTCTAGAAGAAGGACAAGGGCTCTTAGCTACTCAGTCACCTTATCAGACCCCAAAGAAATGTCCCTGTGCTCTCAAGACAGAAGGACACATTTGTTTGTTTGTTTGCTTGTTTATTTGAAACAGAATCTCACTAAGTAGATAAGACTGGCCTGGTGGTACTTTTAATCCTCCTGCCTCAGTATTCCTATGTGCTGAGAAAGACATGAACCAATACGCCTGCTTTGGCAATTCTTTTGGGTTCAGGGTTTTGTGTCTCCCACACCAGATGGCCAGACCACGTGAGATACATATATACAATTCTAAGTGGATGCACATATGTCTGAATGTATGTATGTACACTCCATGTGTACAGGAACTGCTGGAGCTAATGAGGTGTTGATCTCCTCAAACGGGAGTAACAGGTGGTTGAGAAGCAGCATGTTGTGCTAGGAACCAAATCTGGGTCTGAGTCTTCTGCAGCACTAAGTGCTTTTAACTGCTTGAGCAGTCATAATTCAAAGGTATTTTCTGAGGCTGTTAGCATGCGTCAGGCTCAGGGCTCAATCTCCATCATAAAAAACAACGAAAACAAAAGCAAAAACCTACCTCTACAGACAGCTGTCAGCTTTCTTCATGACCACCCTCTTCACTTCTAGTTCACTTGGAAATCACAAAACAAGCTTAGGGAGGTCTTGCCTACAAGCATTAGAAGTGGATTCATGGGTTCCAGAGAGCTTGGTTCTCAGTGGTGCCGATTTTTTTAAAAAGACAGTTTCTGGGTGTAGTCCTAGCTGTTCTGGAACTCAATACCAGCCTGACCTGGAACTTACAGAGGTCCACTGGCCTCTGCCTCTCCAGTGCTGGGATTAAAGGCGTGCACCACCACCACCTGGCCAGGCAAAATCTTTTTGATGTTCTAGATACACAGAACTGCTTGGACTATTAAATACCTGGGATAAAATTTTAATGCCAGGTCTTCTAAACTGATTGTGCTCTTTTATGAGTAAGAAACAGAAGTTAAAAACTTTACCAGGGGAGGCTAAGTAATTAAATGACATTGTAAATAGTTTTGGGTGCAGCACATCAGAGTACCTGCTGGGCATGACTGTGGCCTTGGGTCTCAAGGTAAGTGTTTAACATTTTCATTACAAACACCAACAATCAGATTCACTCACCCCTCTTTGGTAGGTTCTCTTAACAGAAAATGCAGACATTATAATCATGGAAAAGACATAAACACATAAGAGGTGAGATTTGTTCTATTAGAAATAAAATATTTATGGCTTTTAATGTTTGTAGCTCAGTGGTACAGCACTTGCCTGGCAAATGCAAGGACCTGAGTTCAAGCACTGGTTGTCCAATGTTATCCTTATTGTCAGAGGGGAATACAAACTTCAAAAAACGATGGGCAGGACACTCTCGAGAGGCAGGAGGACCTCCAGTTCAAGGCCAACTGAGGCTGCATAAAGAGACTATCCCAAAAAATAAAGATGCAAAGGTGGTGCCCATCTCTAACTCTGGCACTGGGGAGGTAAATGTAGGAAGAAGCTCTAATGTTCACAGCCACACAGCACAGGAAGTTCAAGGCCCACACTGGCCTTGAGCTACAAGAGACCTAGTTACAAACAAATAAAAAGATGCATTTGCTTGGGCTGGAGAGATGGCTCAGTGGTAAGAGCATGTATTTTTTTCTTGCAGAGGACCTGAGTTCAATTCCCAGAATCCACACAGGCCAAGTCTTATGCCTGTAACTCCGGCATAAGGAGATCTGACATGCCTCTGACCTCCTCAGGTACATACATGTACTCCCTTCTCATCTTCTCCTCCCATGAGTCAAGTCTGTTGCAACATCCTTTTGTTATTTTATGAGGATATGGGGGAAGGAGCTGCCACCTTGACATGGCACCCCTTACTGAATTTGAGCACGAGCCTGCCCCATCTAAAAGCAGCCCCTCCACTTCACTATGAGACTGTGCAGCAGACATGCCCCTCAGCTTCCCAGGCATCAGTCCATGGCAGCCTTCCCGTCATTACCTTCCCCAGGAAGAGGTCACACTTGATTATGTGGGTGAGTGGGACAAGCCACCACTGTAAACAGGAAGCAGACTGCCCTATGGCCACAGTGACCTGACAGGTGCTATGCTATGTATGTACCTTAGGAAAACAACCAGGCCAAGTTCATGGAGAACCCAGTCCATCCCCAGCCTAGACCTGCACCAGAAGCCCCAAGGCCTGTCAGAGTATCCAAAGCAGAGTTCTTTCCTTGGCCAATTTTCTTAGGGTGCTAACAATGCTCCCCAAGAAACATCAGGCCTGGGAACTAGGTTGCCCTTGAACATGTCACACGGGTTCAGGGTTATTGTCCACCCACCTTCTGCAACAGTCCAATTCTCAACTGTCTGTCTGAAAAGCAGGGGAGAGGCAGCCACATTGAGGCTAAAGGAGATTTGGAACCCCCCCTGCAATCTGCAGGCAAATACAGAGCAGGGAGTAGTGACTTCCAGAATGGTGTCTGATGCCTGGAAACAGAGGAAGCTCAGTGGGAGAAAGCAAGGGATACTTTTAGACCTTGTCTAACATCGGGGGTGGAGTGGGGGGCAGTCCCTTTACTCTAGGCCTCAGGGAAAGGAGGCTTAGAATAGACACAGCCTCCTCTCTGACTTCCCAAGATCCACTGGAAAAACTTATTCCTGATTATTCCATGTGAGAATCCAGTGACCCTGTGCCAGTTATTCACTGGTCAAGCTCTACTTTGAAAAGCTAGAGTGCTCCCACATAAGCCTGTCACTTTGAGAATAAAACAGGTGGGAATCAGTAAGACTAAGTCAGGCAACCAGGATAGGCTGCTCCTCCTGTCCTTTTCATTGTTCTCCTTTAAAAACAAAACAGATGGTAAAAACCAGATGATACTGTAGTCACTTTTAGGATAAGAATCACAAAAAGAAAAACCCCTCAATATTTGAAATCATATTACTAGTAGGAGGAGAAAAGAAGAAACTGACAGTGTTTGGAGTACAATAAATATGTGAGCATTTAAAAGAGGCATTGAAATTACTATAGAATGGATGGACACTCTCTCAATATCCAGTGACCCCCATCTATTCCTGAACACAGTAAATGGGATTCCACACAAAGTTCTACTCCTTGCCAGAAACTTTTTAAAATTGAGTGTGGTATATGTTCATGGCATCTCTGCATACATGCATGCATGCCTGTGTGGAGGTTACAGACTAGGTTGGGAATCTTCCTCTACTGTACTCCATCTTGCTTTTTTTTTTTTTTTTTTTTTTTTGGAGACAGGGTCTCTTACTGAACCTAGAGATGACTCTTTGGCTAGACTGGCTGGCCAATGAGCTCTGAGGATGAGCAACCTATCTCTATTCATGTGTCTACACAAGCCCTAGGGTTGCAGATAGTCCCCACCCTGCCTGGCTTTTACATGGGCACTAAGGAGCCAAATTCAAGCCCACATGCTTCAGCCCCATGGTCTTTTTTTTTTTTTTTAAAGACTGCATCTTTCTATTTCAGTGGTTCTCAACATTCCTAATGCTACAACCCTTTAACAGAGTTCCTGATGGTCGGTCGGTCGGTCGGTGGTAGCACACACCTTTAATCCTAGCACTTGGGAGGCAAAGGCAGGTGGATCTTTGTGAGTTGAAGGCCAGCCTGGTCTATAAGAGCTAGCTCCAATACAGCCTCCAAAGCCACAGAAAAAACAAAACAAAAACAAAAAATAGTTCCTGAAGTTGTGGTGACCCCAAACTGTACAATAATAATAATGACTATTATTAATTTTTGGAGACAGGGTTATTATTATTATTAATTTTTGGAGACAGGGTTTCCCTGTAGCTTTGGAGGCTGTCCTTGAACTTTGTAGACCAGGCTGGCCTTGAACTCACAGAGATCCATCTGCCTCTGCCTCCCAAGTGCTGGGATTAAAGGTGTGTGCTGCCGCCACCGCCCGGCCTTAAACTATTTTTGATGCTATGTTGTAACTGCAATTTTGTTAGTTATGAATTGTAATGTAAATATGTGGCATGTAACCCCACAAGGGTTGTGATCCACAACCGGAGAACCACTGGTCTATTTAGTCCTGGCTGTACTAAAACTCAATATGTAGATCAGACTGGCCTTGAACTCAGAGATCCTCCTGCTTCTGTCTCCCACGTGCTGGAGCTAAAGGTGTGTACCATCACACTGGGTCCCAGTTCCTCTTTTAAGATGCAGAAGCCCTTCCATGGAACCTTTCCTATCTCTTTCTTTCTTTCTTTTTTTGAGACAGAGTTTTTCTGTGGCTTTGGAGGCTGTCCTGGAACTAGCTCTTGTAGACCAGGTTGGTCTCGAACTCACAGAGATCCGCCTGCCTCTGCCTCCGGAGTGCTGGGATTAAAGGCGTGTGCCACCAACGCCGGGTCCTTTCCTATTTCTTTCACCTGTATCTTTAATAGTCATGTCACTCCACCGAACTCCAATACATCCCGAACTGGGAGTTCGTGGAATTCTCTATGTTTGTCTCTATGTTTCAAGGTCTCTTTGATATGCAAGTCTTGTTCTGAACTAGTAACTTCATGAACTAGTAGGTTAAGGGCTAAGGAGGAGTATGGATAGGTCCTGTTCAGGCTAGAGTGACTTTTATTGCACAGGAACTCAGCAGATGCAGAAACTGTTCTTAAAATTCTCTGTTTCAAGCAAGACATAAAACCTTGTAATAGAGATAGCAGGGCACAGTGGCGCATACCTTCAATCCCAGCACTCAGGAAGCAGCGGCAGGCAACTCTTTGAGTTCAAGGCCAACCTGGTCTACTTGGTAAATCCTAAGACAGCCAGGGCTACAGAGAAACCCTGTCTCAAAATAGAGAGATACCTTGTATTATAAGCATCTCCTACTGGTCCCCAAATCCTAATGGCACAGAAGCCAAATTGCTACTGGTTGGAACTGCTTTCCTCCCACCCAGATAGCACTGCTTATTCACTAGACAAACTGCAACAGGTTGTCCTGATAGCGCTTGTTGTGCTGGTCTTTGGGCATATACAACACAGCATTTAGCAGCCTGAATGTGTATGTGCTTTTGGAAGTGAGGTCATACTAAGTGCCAGTGTGTATACATGACGTATGTCTTCCTCACTTTACTTACACAGGGTCTCTCCCTGAACCCCAGAGTTCACTGACTCTGCTAACCTAACTAGTCAGTGATCTCCTGTCTCCACATCAAGAGTGCTGAGACTACAGGTAGCTGTCTAGCTTTTCTGTGGGTGCTGGGATCCTGACTCTGGTCCTCACCGTTGTGTGACAAGCACTTTATCCATCGAGTCTTCTCTCCAGCATCTTGCTAGCTTCAACTTTTACAGATCCACTACACTTCTAGACTCAGTGTCTTTAGAATTCTGTTCTGTAGGTAGAAAGACCCAGTGTGGTAGAAGAGGACACTAGGAGAGACAAAACCCCACTCCAGCCCCACCCCACTGTGAACCAACCGTAAGATCCAGAAAGGTGCTAGACCTTTCTGAACCTCACTGTCACATCTGTGGCTGGCCCAGGTGACCCACATCCTTCCAAATCTCGGGACAACTCCCTGTCTTGAGAATATCGAGAAAAGTTCACCTGTTGCACTTTCATTCAGGTGCTTGGCATTCTCCAATTGAACTTTTAGTTGGGGAAAAGAGAAACCCCAGTCTTTACCTTGCTAGTGCTATGCTGTCAGTGGCGGCCAACTACTTAGTGTGATGCCAAGTGACCCATTCCTTCTCCTCTTACATCACTTCCTCTTACTCACTTCCCAAGATGGCTCTTCTCCCTTCTAGTCTCATAACTCATCTTTCCTTCCTCAGAAACCTCATCTATTAACCACCTCCCAGGTATGCCAACCAGGGGGCCTTGAGGAACCAGACTGGGACCTATAGCAGGTCAGCCTGGTAAAACAGGGGACCGCATGAAGGTTCTCTTTTACCCCAGGAACAGCCCACCGTACCCCCACATTCCCCTTGAGGCACCCAGACCCCTTGAGGACAAAGTCTCTCTAGAACGAAGGCCTGGGTTTTGCTGTTTGATTCTTGTTTGGAAGAGGCAAAATTATCTGCCAGTAAAAACAGCAGAGAAGAAACAAGGGGTAAAAATAGAAAAACCATGAAAAGCGATAGAAGAGGCACCTAAGATGCAGAGAAATAGGGAGGCGGGCGATGCCCAGGGCGGCCGAGAAACCTATTCCGGGTGACAGGCACCAACGGGCGGGCGTGCACAGTTCCTTCCCAACTCTGCGAAACGCCAGGTCTGAGGACAGGTGGATGGGAACACCTCGAGTTCCATCACCTCCCCCGGCCCAGGAGGCAGCAGCGCTCGAGCGGCCGCGCGAGCTCAGGGTCCCCCTTGGACACCCCCAACTTGATCCAAGCCCTGACCTCTGACCCGGCCCCGTGCCCAAGCCCGGCCTTACGTGTTATCCTGGTTGAAGTTGGCGAACAGCAGCTGGCCGGCGCCGGCCTCCCCGCTCTGGCTCGCCAGGTTCATGGCTGCGCGCGCGCGACGGGCTCGGACCCCCTTCGCGGGAACGCGCGCGACGCAACTCGGGCGGCCCGCGGGAGCGCGCTACACTCAGGACCTGCTCCCGGTCCGGCTCTCAGCCCCGCTCGCCGCCTCTTGCTGCGCGGGGACCAACCGCCGCCTCATCCCGTCCCCACTCTTGTTTATGCTCCAGAGCCGGGACGGGCTGCGCGCTTGCGCGGCCCCGCCCACCCTCGCGACGCGCGGAGGCGTACGGCGCAGGCCCGCTGCGTAGGCCCCGCCTCTTCACCGCAGGCTCCGGTGGGGGTTTCCGGTCTCTTGCGCATGCTTAAAGATACGCTGGCGGAGAGTGGGCTGGTGCTTGCTGTCAGCGGAAGAGGGGTTACCTCGTTGGTCTAGCTACGATTGTCGTTGTTCATGGGACCTGTGCGCATCAACTTGCTTGTAGAGAATCTACGTTTTGCAGATTTGAAAAGCGAGGCTAATAACTGTAAAGAATTTGTCAAATGTTGGATCTGAGACTGGAAACGATTTCTCCATGGCTAAGATTAAAAAAACAAGAAACAAAACAACAACAAAATGATAGCATGGGTGTGGGCAAAGGGAAATTCTTATTCTGCTGGTGGGAGTGCGTCTGGTACAACCACTCTGGAAATCAGTGTGGAGAGTCCTCAAAAGGCTAGAAATATATCAACTGTGTGACTCAACTCTTATTCTTGGGCATATACCCAAAGGACTCTATATCTACTACAGAGATTTCTGTTCGTGTATGTTCATTGCTGCTCTATTCCTTATAGTTGGGAAATGGAAACTGCCTAGGTGTCCATCAATTAATGCATGCATAAGGAAAATGTGGCACATTTACACAATGGGTATTATTCAACTGTTAAGAAAAATAAAAATGATGAAGTTCATAGGTAAAATGAATGGAGCTAGAAATAATCTTTTTTTTTTTTTTTTGAGACAGGGTTTCTCTGTATAGCTCTGGTTGTCTTGGAACTCACTCTGAGACCAGGTTGGCCTCGAACTCAGTGATCCACCTGCCTCTGTCTCCCTGAGTGCTGGGATCAAAGGTGTGAAAATACACAGATTAATAGTTATGGGTTAGCAATTAAGACAGAGCTAGCCAATAAGAAGTCTTAGCCATCGGCCAATAGTTTTATAAGTAATATATAGTGTCTGTGTACTTGTTTGGGGTTGAAGGGCGGCGGGACCTGCTGGGACAGAGGCCCCCATCTTCACCTCCCCAGTTGTGAACCTTATGGGCTATAGTAGTGAGAGGCCTGGTAAAGCCTGCTCACCTGTGCAATGGTGGCGTGGATGCCATAGACGTCGCCAAGATGGCCTTTTGGTTTTATTAAATTTTTATGTTTATTTTACGTACCTACCAGTTTCCCTCCCCTCCTCTCTTCCAATTCCCTCCCCCCACCTCCCATCTACCCCCATCCCGTCCACTCCTCTTCCCTTCAGAAAGGGGTGGGCCTCCCATGGGAGTCAACAAAGCATGGCATGTCAAGTTGAGGGGGGACAAAACTCCTCTCCCTGCATCAAGGCTGGGTTGAAGCATCCCAGAAAGGGGGATAGGTTCCAAAAAGCCAGCTCACGTGCCAGGGCCAGGTCTGAATCCCACTGTAAAGGGCCCCACAAACAGACAAGCTACCGAACTGTCACCCCAGTGATAAGAGCCTAGGTTAGTCCCATGCAGGATACCTAGCTGTCAATACAGAGTCTGAAAGCTCCCACTAGCTCAGGCAAGCTGTCTGTGTTTTCCCCATCATGATCTTGACCCCCACCTTGCTTGTATAAGCCATCCTCCCTCTCTTCAAAAGGACTCCAGGAGTTTGACCCAGTGCTCAGCTTTGGATCTCTGCATCTGTTTCCATCAGTTACTGGATATAGGTTCTCTGATGACAATCTGTCTGATGTAATCAGTCACCAATCTGATTACAGGAGACGGCCAGTTCAGGCACCCTCTCCACTATTGCTAAGAGTCTTAGATGCAGTCATTTTTGTGGATTCCTGGGAGTTTCCCTGGCACCAGATTTGTCCCTAACCCTGAAATGCCCCCCCATCAAGATATCTCTTTCATTACTCTGGCCTCCAACTTGATCACGTTCCCATCCCCCACCCCCAGCTTACACAGGAGATGGCCTTTTCAACAAAGGAAATAAGTTCCTCCACCTAGCACAGCATCTGGAAATTATTTGAAGCAAGCTTAACTACTGTGTGGGGATTGACCAGGGTTGGAGAGGTGACAAACACATGGACACAAAAAAGCTGGAATTGGGTGGTCTGGACTCTGTTGGAGAAGCACCCAGGAAGCTCAGTATATTTATTACACAGACAGCCTTGACTACTCCCTCCTCCCATTTCTGTCTCAAGTGGTGCTGAGATTGTAGGCCTGCACCACTTGTCCAGCCATAGTTTATTTCAATCAAACAATCTATTTATGTATTTATTGTGGGACAGGATCTTATGTTGCTCAGACTGGCCCGGAACGCACTGTGTCAAAAAGGCTAGCCTCTAACTCACAGAGATCTGTCTGTTTCTGTCTCTAGAGTGCTGCTGTCTATTTTGAGAAAAAAAACTTCAGTTATTGCCTGATTGCCTCCAGTGCACCATGTAGATAAAAATGACCATGAAATCCTCATTGTCTTGCCTCCACTGAACTGGGAATATAAGTGTGAACCACTACACCCACTCTTATGACTTTATGGGGTGCTGGGAATCAAACCTAGGACTTTGAGCAAGCTAGCCAGGAACTAGCTCTTGTAGACCAGGCTGGTCTTGAACTCACAGAAATCTGCCTGCCTCGAGTGCGCCACCACTGCCCGGCTTAGTCAAAGTTTTTAGTTTGGATCTGCTCCTGTGATCCAGTGATGCTGGGACTGGGTAAACACAAGAGCATTGCCAGGTCACCCATGGGTCATCTCTGCCCACAGAGTGGGGGCAGCCTATTGCAAGTGCATAGATATCCTGTCCTCCATGCTGTCACTGATCCAGGAAGAACCTTCCTTGGCTTACTGTTCTTCATGCTCCAGTGCTTTCCACTGAAGTTAATGTCTAGTTTAAGATAAATTCAGTCCCATGGGCAAAACTGTGGAGCACCTATCCTTGAAGCTGGCCTCTTCTCTGGGCAGAGCCAGGGACATGCAGCCTGGCGAGGGCTGAGGACTGGCTTTTCTTGCTTGCTCTACAAATGAGCCCTTGTTGGGGCTGGGTGTGGGTGGTGGCCACTGCTTTTTTTTTCTTTTACTTTCTTTCTTTTAATTTTTGTATTAATTAATTTTTTTACATTCAAATCCCAGTTGCCCCTTCCTCCTCTCCTCCCGAACCCCCTACTCCCCCCCCCACCTCCCATCTGCTCTTCAGAGAGGGTAAGGCCTCCCCTAGGAAGTCCACTAAGTCTGTCCCATTACCTCATTGAGGCAGGACCAAGGCACCTCTCCACCCCTGCACCCCTGTGACTAGGCTGGGCAAGGTATCTCCGTATAGAATGGGCTCTACTAAGTCAGTTTGTGCATTAGTGTTAGGCTGGCTACTGCTCTTTTTGAATTTGTTTTGTTTTGAATGTATCTATATTTTATTGATTGATTTATGATGTCTGTGGAGGTCAGAGGACAGCTTTGTGAAGCTAGTTATCTCCTTCTACTGTTGGTTATGAGGGTGTCAAGTTTAGATCAGCAGGCTTGTAGGGCAAGCACTTTTATCCACTGAGCCATATCTCTGGCCGTCCTGTTGTGGAATATTTAACTATGTAAAGACATGCTGCATTTGCATTAATTAAATAAAATTAACCTGGGCTCAGAGAGGCAGGGTTTGCAACTAGTTGACAGGAAGTAGCAGAGAGAAGCATAGTGTGGGTGTTTTAGTTGGGACAGTGTAGAAGGAGAAAGGTTTTCGGGGACACCAGCTAAGAGAGGAAGTTCACCCTAGTCTTTGCATCTTGAGTTTTATTAGAATGATAGAGATTAGTTAGAACTACCTTTTAGTGGCAGCAACAGAGTCATTGTCTGGGGGGAACAGAATTCCCCAAGGCTACATCCTTAGCAGTCAGGCTGCTAGTGGTTTAAAATGCAGCCACTCTGATGAAGATAAAACATTACCTTCCTTTCCTTCTCTTCTTGAGACAGGTCTCATATAGCCCAAGCTATCTGTGAACTTCTGCTATAGCTGATGATGATATTAAACTCCTTTTAAAATATGATTTTATGTATATGAGAGTTTTGCCTGCGTATCTATATATGCATCACATGTGTGCAGTACCTGCAGAGGTCAGAAGAGGGCATCAGATCCCCTGGAGTTACAAACTGTGTGAGTGGCCTTGTGGGTTCTAGAAAGGAGCATCCTGTCCTCTGCCAACTCTCAAGCCCTGTGACCTTGAACTCCTGATTCTATCTGAACCTCTAAAGTTCTGAGGTTGCAGGTGTATGCCATGTACATTGAGTCTCACCTTGAACTTGCTATCTCCAGCCAACTGATCTTGAAGTCACCATCCTCCTGTGTCAGCCTCTGGAATTCTGCAATTAAAGATGAATGTCATCATGTTGTGCTTGACCTTGAGCTTCTGATCCTCCTGCCTCCACCTCCTCAATGCTGGGATTGCCAGTGCATGGCTCCCTGCCTGTTTCATTCCGGTCTGGAAAGGGAGCTCAGGGCTCCTGCATACCCAACCAGTGAGCTACAGCCACTTTCTATGGAATCTATTCTTTCTATCTCTTGCCTGCTATACAGATATGCTCCTGTGTTTAAAAATAGCATTTCCCAGGGGATAAGCTTCTATAGTGCCCATTTTCCCACAGTTTCTCACAGTTCAGACATCACATTTCCTCTCCACTGATTCACTAGGGAGTTAGTTTGATCCTGTGGCTTTAAATACCATCCCTGTTCTTTATTACCCCAAAGTAGCAGAACAACATTATTCAAAAGGAAGCAGTAGCATGGGTCAGAGAGATATATTCTTTTTTTTTTAATTTGGTTTTTCGAGACAGGGTTTCTCTGTATTGTTTTGGAATCTGTCCTGGAACTTGTTCTGTACACCAGGCTGGCCTTGAACTCACAGAGAGCCGCCTGCCTCTGCCTCCCGAGTGCTGGGATTAAGACATGCGCCACCAACGCCTGGGGAGAAATATTCTTTCAATCAGATTCACAGCCAGGAGCACTGGAGAATTGCTCCAGGATCAAGAACACACCTTCTTCATTCCAAGTTCCAT